AAGGGTGGATTTTCAAACAAGCAAGAAAGCTCAGGAAATTTTATTTTTATCACCATTTAAAAAGAATCATAATGCTCATTTCTTTCCCTGAGTAATATAAATTTCTTTAGTACTGTTTCAGAATCTTCAGGAAATGTTAAATGTTAGAACTAAAACAATATGATATTAAAATAATCAGTGGGGATTCCACTTGAAATAGCTTGGTCTCTACTTAAGGAAAACCATCTATCCAATATCTTCCTCAGGAGACAATATGGCAAAATAGCATTATATGGTCAATTACCTAACATCTCATTTCATTTTTCCTCCAAAACACAGGAACACTTTGTTAGAGGTTCTATAATGAGATAACTATTTTCTGTTGGATGCTATTAAAATTTCCTTTGTGTTTTTTAATTTCAAAGGACCAGTGTTAATGTTAGTGGTCTCTAAATTAAGATTGCATTTATTTTAAAATGTATTTGCAAGTGGAAGGAGTAATTCTTCAATTTTGCTTTAAAAAGTTAGAATATATCTTTTCTTTAACACGTATTCATATAAAACTCATTTTGAAAATGGCATATTGTGACTTATAAATAATAAATATTGGCTTGCCTTACCCCTCTTGACACTATGTGTAAGCCAACATGAGTTTTACTTTATCCTCTTAGCAGTTGAGTGATGACATTTTAGCAGAAGTTCTTTTCTTTATTCACTTTATACATTCACTGATAATAACTTTAAGGCTATGAAAAAAACCTGCTGCTTCTCACTAATGGTAACAAGGGTAGAAAGGGCTTATGTGTCAAGATGTTGAATGGATATTAACATAATACAGCCAAATTTCACTTGGCACCACAAATTATGTCACAGTCTTATTAAGGCTCAAATTTTACTTCCTAGTTGCTTCCTACTGATGATAATAGCATCTCTGATTCCTTCCAAAGTACCCCTTAAATATTCCTATGATGTCTTGCTTGCCCTAAACTTCCACCATATTTGTTCTACTGGGCTACAACAACAACAACAAAACTCTCTTACAGTTCCATCTAGCAAAGCAATTCTTTACTGATGACTACTGCTGCTCTATTGAGAACTGGTGGGAACTTAACACCATCACATGCTATTCCTCTGCATATCATAGTCCTTCCTCCAGCCTTGCCAGGCACAGCAGTTCTCCAAAGGCAACCACACTTAGCTCTCAAGGTGCCCAAACTGCATTGTTGTCCATAGCAGGGGTGGGCAGATGGCTCCCTCAGATTTCTAACTTTGAGTGCAGTACCAAAGACATTTGGGACCCAGTGGGCTAAACATTTTAATGAAACAACCCTTTTGGTTTCTACTTAGAGCTATTCAGTTGTGTTTTTTTTTTTTTTGCCTGGGACTCAGAAACATGTTCAGGGGCCTAGACCCAAAACAGATTGAGTAATAATCACTGAACTGTACTCAGAATCCTTCTTCCACCAGCAGAAAATATGGCCAAAACTAAACCTGAGAATCTACTATGCTTAATTAGAGAGAGGTATTAACAAATTATTTTTTCTTACTAAATATACAGGGGAATAATATTTGAACCAAATATTGATGATATTTGAATTGAAATGTACAGAGAGATAATATTTGAATTTTAAATTACTTTATTTTTCATTCAACAATTCTTTGTTATTCCTTCAGCTTTTTCATCATTAAAATGACATCATGGTACTTCTAGTTTCTAGTCCAACATATAAGCAGCATAGAAGTCACCACTCAATCCTGACAAGTAAAAGTGGAACAAATTGAAAAACCAAAAACTCTTATGACTGTCAGAGAAGTGAGGTCATGAGGCAAATCACTGCTCCCCCAAACTGGAGAGACACACAGATGAATACAAAGAATTATAACTTACCAGAGCAGAAACCCACAAGCAGAAACCTCAGGGGGAGCCAGGGCCAAGGTAGGAAAGCCTAAACTGTCACTGATGAATTTCTGGAAGCTCAGTGTGGACAAGTCTGATACTTAAAAACTCCAGGAAGACCCACTCATAGAAGAGCTCCCATACTTTGGTGTTTAAACTCCTGGAGCTCTACCCAGTTCTCATAGTGAATATCAGAGAAAAATACATTCATGATTCCAGGAGGGAGAGAGGAAAATGAATCATTTTTAAATATGCCAGAGCATTCTGTTTTAGCAGAGCATCATCAGAGACTAATTGATCTGGAGGAAAGGAAATACCCAACTCCAGCCCACTGGTCCCACCTAAAGAGGAAGTGGGAGGACTGAGAAGCATTTGTGAAGCCCACAGTCCAGAGGTGCAATCTTCACTAAAAGATCAAGATGTAATTAGGGTGCCTGGCTGGCTCAGTCAGTAGAGCATATGGCTCTTGAGCTCAGAGTTGTAAGTTCCAGTCCCATGTTGGGTGTAGAGATTACTTAAAATAAATTAAAAAATACTAATAAAATCTAAAAAAAAAAAAAAGGATTGAGACCTAATCATAGGACTATAGAATATTTCCTACAACCCCCATAACTTACTATCATATTCCTAAAGACCTACTTAAAGCAGTTAATTTCACCTAGTATGTCTCAGTCCATTGAGTCTACAATATATTTTTTTTGTAGTAGCTTATAAACTGGATGGATTATGAACCACAAAAAAAGTATTTCTCAGAGTTCTGGAGGCTGGATAGTTCAAGATCAAGGCACCTTGTAGGTGCCTACTTCCTGGTTCATAGACAGCCATCTTCTAGATGTGTCTTCAAATGGCAGAAGAGGCAAGGGAGCTCTCTGAGGTCTCTTTTATAAGTGTTCTAGTCTCCTTTGTAAGGGTTCCACCCTCATGAACTAATCACCTTCCAAAAGCCCTACTGCTAAATATCATCCCATTGGGGATTAGGTTTCAACATTTTGGGGGGAATTTTGAATTTGGGGAGGATACAGATATTCAGTCTATAGCAGAGTACATCATGAATGGCTAACAGGGAAAAAATCACAAGGCATACTAAAAGGCAAAAAACACAGTTCAAAAAGAAAAAGAAAGCATCAGAACCAGACTCTGATGTGGCAAGGATAATGGAATAATCTGACAAGGAATTTAAAATAACTACAATTAGTATGCTAAGGGTTCTATGCATAAAGTAGACACATGAAAGAACAAATTGGCGATGTAAGCAAAGAGATGAAAGTTCTAAGAAAGAATCAAAAAAAATGCTAGCGGTAAAAAAACATTGTAATAGAAATAAAGACACAGCTGAGAAATGGATAGCCAAGCTTGAAGATATCACAATAGAAACTTCCAAAAATGAAAGGAAAAGAGAAAAACAATATCAAAAAAACCCAGAACAGTCTATCCAAGACCTGTGGGACAATTATTGTGACATAATAGAAAAGATATGTGTATTGGTCTCTGCCTTTAATTCCTGGTACAGAGATCCTAAAAAACCTTGTAATTTCCTAAGTGATAAGAATATTAGGAGCATCTTTTCTTCTAATATTTGGTCTTTGACCCCAGTCAATAACACAAAGCTCCTAAATTCCCTGGAATTCCTGGGTGACAGGAGTGTCTTTTGTTCTAATGAGGTGGCTCTTGGTGGGCTCTTGGATAGCTTTAGGATGAGAGCTGTTCAGCAGAAAGGAACAAGGAAATTCCAACCTGCCCCCCTTTCCTCCAGGAAGGAGTGAGGTACTGGAGACTGAGTTACTGACTGAGCATACCTATATGATGAAGGTTCCATAAAACCCTCCAAAGTACGGTCAGAGAGCTTCCAGGTTGGTGAATACATCCATGTGCCAGGAAGGTGGTGCACCCAACTCCACAGGGACAGAAGTTCCTGCACTCAGGATTCTTCAGGACCTCATTCAATGTATCTCTTCATGTGGCTATTCATCTGTACCCTTTTTTATATCCTTTATTATATAACAGACATATAAGTAACTGTTTCTGCGAGTTCAGTGAGCTGTCCTACCAAAGATTGAACCCAAGGCATGGGGCATAGAAACCTCCAATTTATAGCTGGTTGGTCAGAGGAAAAGATGACAAAGCTAGGACTTGCAAATGACACCTAAGGTGGGAAGGGCAGTCTTCTGAAACCAAGCCTTTAACCTGTGGGGTCTACACTAACTCCAGATGGTGTCAAAATTGAATTGAACTGTAGGAGAACCAGCTGGAGTTGTGTGTGTGTGTGTGTGTGTGTGTGTGTGTGTAGGCATGGGGGGATAGGGAGGAAGCCCACATATCTGTTTTTAGAAGTGAAGTGCGGTAGTAGTGTAAGAATAAAGAAAAACCAGGGATTGTTTTGTCCTAGACAACTACCAAAGGTGTAACATACATATAATGGGAATGTTGGAAGGAAGGAAGGAAGGAAGGAAGGAAGGGAGGGAGGGAGGGAGGGAGGGAGGGAGGGAGGGAGGAAGGAAGGAAGGAAGGAAGGAAGGAAGGAAGGAAGGAAGGAAGGAGAAAGAAAGAAAGAAAGAAAGAAAGAAAGAAAGAAAGAAAGAAAGAAAGAAAGAAAGAAAGGGAGAGAAAGAAAAAGAAAGAAAGAAGAGAGAGCAGGAGAAGAAAAAAAGGAAAAGGAAGGAAAAGAAAAAATATGTGAAGTAATAATGACAGAATTTTCCCCACATTAATACCAGACACCAAACTACAGATCCAGAAAGCTCAGAGAACATTAAGCAGGAAAAGTGCAAAAAAAACCCCACAAAAACAAACTATACCTAGGCATAGAAAAAAACTGTAGAAAATCAAAGATAAAGACAAAATCTTGAAAGAAATCAGAGTTAAAAAACACCTTACCTATAAAGGAGCAAAGATAAGAATAACACCCAAATTCTCAGAAACCATGCAAACAAGAATGCAGTGTGGAATGACATTAGCAAAATGGCCAAATAAGATATGGCTCACTTGTAAGCCCCCAACAACAATTTGGTCTCCATCAAATAGGAAAAAAAGTTCCTTTGTGGGAGCTGCAGGATCCATCACCATACACCAAAGGACCTGGGAGGAGTATCACCCACCCCATTTCTTCAGTAGCAGACATACTGACCTTAGTCTTGGCTATGGCCCCTCCGGTGGTCCATAAACCAGCTCCAGTCCCTCTTGGCTGTGGTCTGGAAGCCCGTCAAGAACACTGTCTTAGACAATCACCTGCAGAGCCTTTATGAAAGCCCAGGAATCTAGCACAGAAGTTCTAGCACACTGCTGGAACAAAAAATACAAGTTAGACACATGGGAGAGAGTAAGAAAAAGTGACTTTACTCATATCACTTCATCTGAGGTGGCACAGCTCAGTGTCAAGAGAGAACTAATTGGCATATGATTTCTCCTGCAGGGAAAGTGAATGTGTGTAACTGTGTGGGATGCGACCAGAGAGGTTCATATCTCTCTCACTCCACCCAAAGTAGTACTGAGTCATGAGCTGCACAACTGGCAGGTGGAAGGAGGATGGAAGGGCAGCAGATAGAACTCTCTGATGGCATTAAAGGGACATGTATCCTACTAACAGCATCATGAACTCCATCAAGAAGCCTGCCCACAAGCTACTGGGGACACTTTGCCTGCAAATCACTCCAACTGCACACAGGTATCCCCAGCACTCAACCTGCCTCACCCACATACCCCACTCTGTGGCTGGCTCCCTATGTGCACTCTCAGTGGCAGTGAGAGTAATCTAGTGAATATACACAGAAAGCCAGACTGAATCCATGAGTCAAAGAGAGACCACAAATTTGAGCTTTAGCATTGTCCTTAGAAAAGCAAAAGGTAGGCTATTGGCATAAAGGTATGTTGCAGAATTGAAAGAAAGCAAAGAAGCTTAAGAATTCTGCCACAAGATGAAGCAAGAAATGTTCAGCAGGCATATCCATAAAAGGTCTGAGAAAGCTTCAGAATCTATAGCAAGGCTGATGGTAGATATTTCTCTCCCAAAGTCACCCAGCAAAGACAGAAAGAAGTGTGTGAAGACAACCATGCAAGACATCAAAGAATATGAAAAATCAAGGAAACATGACACAATCAAATGATCACAAAAATCATTGTCACCAACCCCAAAGACATGGAAATCTGTGTTTACCCAACAAAGAATTCAAAATGGCTGTTTTAAGAAATCTCAATTAGCTACGAGAAAACAAAGAAAGAGAATGCAATGAAATTGGGAAAAGAATACATGAATAAAATGAGAAGGTTAGCAAAGAGATATAAATAAAAAGAACAAAACAGAAATTCTGGATCTGATTAATACAATGAATGAAATGAAAAATGCAATAGATTACATCAACAACATCAGAATGAATGAAACAGAAGAAAAAATCTGAATCAGAAGACAGGATCTTTATATTATCCAGTCAGAGGGGAATAAAGAAAAATATGAGAAAGAATAAAGAAATCCTATGTGATCGATGGGATAACATTGAAAGACACAATCTGTGAATTATTGGAGTCCGAGAAAGAGAGGAGGGCAGAAAACTTATTCAAAGAAATAATGGCTGAGAACTTTACAAATCAGGGGAGAGATTTGGGCATCCAAGTTCGTGAAGCTCGTGAACATGAGGAAGTTTATCACCACTAGAACTGCCTTACAAGAAATGCTGAAAGGAGTTTTTCAAGCTGAAATGAAAGAACACTAATTAGTACCATGAAAACATGTGAAAATATACAACACATGGGTAAAGGTAAAGATATAATCAAATTCAGAATACTTTAATACTCTATTATGGTGGTATGTTAACCATTTAACTCTAATGAGGCTTAAGCAACAAAAATATTAAAAATACATATAGTGGGGCACCTGGGTGGCTCAGTTGGTTAAGCGTCTGCCTTCGGCTGGGGTCATGGTCCTGGGGTCCTGGGATCAAGCCCCGCATTGGGCTCCCTGCTCAGCAGGGAGTCTGCTTCTCCCTCTGCCTCTGCTGCTCCCCCCTGCTTGTACTCTCTCACTCTCTCTCTGTCAAATAAATAAAATCTTTAAAAAAAAAAAAAAGAGGCAAAGTGAAGAACATTAAAAAAAATAAAAATAAAAATACATATAGCTACCATACATTGTTAATGAATACAGAATACAAAAGAGATATATTGTGATATCAGAAACATAAAGAGAGAAGGAGTGAAAGGGTTGAGTTTTTATGCAATCAAAATTAAGTTTCAGCCACTATGGAGAACAGTATGGAAGTTCCTCAAAAAATTAAAAATAGAACTATGATATGATTCATCAATTCCTCTCCTGGGTATATATCTGAAGGAAATGAATTCACCATTTTGGAGAGATATTTGCATCTCTATATTCATTGCAGCATTATTTACAATAGTCAAAACATATATTCATATTTGGAATATAATACCCAGAATGAATGCTCTGGCATTGTGTTTAAACAAACTGATACACATAGATCTCTCAGGAAAAAGGCTCATATCTCTGGAAAAGAGCTAAAACTTTATATGATCAAAAGAAAAAATAAACTAAATGTGTTATAAAGATCTCAACTGATGTTAGATTTAGTAAAATTTATTCCTTGAGCTCTTCAAGTGACAACATGATTAGATAGGCATCAGATAAGATAAACTTATAATTTGCAGCTAAGGATTCCACAAATGGCCATAAAATCATCTGACTTAAAAAAATCCAGTCCTATTATTCTTAGTTTCCTATTTTATCATGGAAATACTCTCAGTTGACTCTAATGACCCCACCACCCAAGGGAAAGAGATCAGTTACATAAAGCTTTAGAGTATTGTCATAAAAAGTGCTTCACCCGTTGTTTTAATGTAAAATTCTCTTCTGTGTTTTGCTCTGATTATTTATAATACTCTCAGGAAATTCTCTTTGCATGAGGAAGAGACTATACAATTTCCATCTGTAGTGATTCTAATCCTCTATAGAAAGAAACCCCATTCTTTTTTTTAAACTCAATTTATTTATTTATTTATTTATTTACTTACTTACTTACTTGTCAGAGAGAGAGAGAGCGCAGGAGCAGGAAGAGGGGCAGGGGGAGAAGCAGGTTCCACGCTGAGCAAAGAGCCCAATGTGGGATTCAATTCCAGGACCCTGGGATCATGACCTGAGCTGAAGGCAGATGCTTAACCAACTGAGCCACCCAGGTGTCCCGAAACCCCAGTCTTCTTTAACCTAGAAGGATTCTAGAATCAGTACTGAGATTGTTGTTTCTTCCTCTCTGCTAATCCAGACTAGGGCTGCGGTCTGAGCTCTCAAGAACTGGTGGGAAATGTTACTTCTATCTTCAAGACATTGTTAATGTTCTATATGGATAGTCAAAAATCTAGACTTCTGAAGTTATTGAAAATGTGTTAGATGTGTATATGTTAACCTAAAAATCTGTTCACAACACACTAAGAAAAGAAAGCTACATAGTAATAAGTACAGTTTGATTCCTTTTTCAAAAGGAAAAATCCTTTATATTTTAATATAACTGTGTGTGTGAGTCTAGAGATTGGTAAGAAGGGAGATAGACTATATTGTTAATAATAGATATTTCCAAGTGGGTGGGAGTTGACTAGTAAAGAAAGAAGGGAATAACTTTTCCTTTGCATATGTCCATATTCTTTTGCAGTTTGCAGAGGTCACTTGTGAGAATTTTTAAACATCTTTTCAAAAGAAAAAAATTGAATAGAGAATTAGATGGCTGAGTTAGCTCCTAAAACACTAACTCTTCTATAGATAACAGATAAACTTTGGACAAAATACAAAAATTACTTGAAGATTCTGGAAAGAAAGTAAAAAAACAACAGGCAGTTTTGGGAGGAAAATTGAAAAACTGGGAGAAGACAGTGATACAAGCCATTTCACATTTTTGGGTGGAAGATGGTTTAATCTGAGGTCAGGCCAAAGTTGTGGCACTATGCAGGGCTCCAATAATCTGTAGTCTTTCTGGCTTGAAGACCCAAAATACAGAGTTCAGGACAACCTGCATCATTATAAGGTGAGAGTGGAACCTTAGAAAAGAAAGAACCAAAGAGAGATCCCTAAATTCTGTTTCCAAAATATAATCAAGTTTCTACCTGACCCTTGAGCTATGAACACATTGCACATAGCTCAGATATAAAAGAACTAAACTGAAATTTGAGCTGTCACCAAAAAGAGTTTGCTGTAAATTGCATGCTCACACAAAAAGATCAGCACTTTTTGGAGGACTAAAACAGAAAATAAAATCTCCACAACATTAAATTCAAAATATTCAAGATACAATCCAAAATTATGTGACATATAAAGGATCAGGAAACTGTGATGTATCTTTCAAAGAAAAGATAATGAATGGAGACTAATCTAAAGATGACTCAGATATTGGTATTAGCAGAGTGATGCCAGCAGACAAGCACTTAATCAAGCTATTTTAACTATGCTTAATGAGGTAAAGAAAAATACACTGTAATAAATTAAAAATAGAAAGGCTCAGAAGAGAAAAATTATGAAAAGAACCAAATGAAAACTTCCACACACACAAAAAAATAACTGAAACAAAAAATTTACTGGATGGTCTTAACAGCAGAATGGTGATAACAAGGGAAAGAATCAGTAAACTTGAAAATAAATCAATAGAAATGCTCCAATCTGAAAAATAGAGAAAGAATGACAGAAGGAAAATAAACAGATATTCATGAACCTGTGTAACAATACCAAAGGTCCAAAATTTAAGAAACTGAAATTATAGAAGGAAAATGAGGATGAAGTAGAAAAAAAAAGTTTGAAAAAAAGTCTGAAAATGTACTCCATTTGTCAATATAGTAAAAAATACAGATACAAGAAACTCAGCAAATCCCAAGAATAATAAATATGAGGAAAATAATGACTAGGCATATCATAGTCGAACTGATGAAAACAAAAGATAAAGAGAAATCTTGAAAGCAATAAGAGCAAAATGATATGTAACATATAGATGATATGGTTAATGGCTGACTTTTTAAAAATTTGTTTTAGAGAGAGGGAGAGTGAGGGGATGAGCAGAATAAGAGGAAAAGAATCCCAAGCAGACTTCCTGCCAAGCATGGAGCCTGATGCAGGGCTCAATCTTATGACCCTGAGATCATAACCTGAGCCAAAATCAAGAGTTGGAAGCTTAATTGACTTCCCAGGTGCCTCAAATGGCTGACTTCTCATCAGAAACAATGGAAGCCAAAAGGTGTTGGAACAACACAATCAAAGTGCTAACAATAAAAAACTCACCAAACCTGAATTCTTTATCCAC